TTATCTTCAAACAAGCCGCAACTATCATAAATGAAGAGTTTCCAGGCAAGTAAAAACGCAGTTTTGTAGCGCCATATATCTAGTTTTCAAAACTGTATAAACTTTGAAAAAGTAAGCTAACGTAATTGAGTTATGTTGATTTTAGTAGGTCGTTGAGTATTTGGCCAAAAACTAATAATTCTTTTAAAAATACGAAAACATAGTTTTAAAAATAGTTTTTTGGTGTTTTCTTATGAAAAATAACAATTTAAATGATTTTGTGAAGAAAATTTTTCAAAAACTTCAAAATCTTTCGAGATATAGGGGGTATGTGCTCTCCATCGATTTGGCCATTTGTCACCCTACTTAAACCACTATAACTTTTTTTTGAAAAAATATTTTTTAATTCTGTTTTCGGATTATTGTAGCCTAATGTAATACCTATCCAACGATATATAATACTTGCTAGTTAACTTAGTCCTGGTTATTTATAGGGCTGTTGATTGTGACATACGCAGTTTTTGAAAAATTCCCAAAAATTGCATTTTCAAAAATACCACTTTTAAGCAATCTCGAGTATTTTTTTAGAACTTTTTTATGTTTATTTATGACATTTATGAGATTATAAAGCCAAAAAATTAAATTTAGAAACTTTTTACTTCCCTAGTTAACAACTTTGTAAAGTACCCTTGGTAGTCACTATCAGGTGTGAAAATCTCAGTTTTGAAACTATTTTATATATATACTCGTGAAATTCTCTCTACACATCATATCAGTTTTGAACTTCATTGAACAAGTCACTTTCAAAAATGAACCAAAATTCAACACTTACGAAGAAAACACTCTGTGAAATTCTTCGCGACAAAACGTTAAATCTTGCAACACAGCACACGTACTGTTTGGCAGTAATAGAAGAAATTCATGGGAGAGAATTAGCGGAATCACAGAAACCAAGTTTAATTAATAAATTAAACAAGCTGAAGTCAAAGTCAAAAATGTTTTGTAATCAGTCAAATTGGAATAATGCATTAAGAGATCATGCAGATTTCTATGAAGAGGAATTTGAAGTTGACTCACGATACTTCAGCGAATCTAGTGGAGGGATTCTTTTTGAGGAAGAATCTATATATGAAGCAGAAAATGTTACTGACACAGATGAAGATATGGATGAGATTGAATACATCGTCCATGACATAGAGCCTTCATCCAGCAAGGGCATCAAGAGGAAATCATTTGAACAACTAACAAGCGATAAGCATCGACGTAGAAGAGTGGACGAATTAGATATCAGTTTAAAAGAAGCAAAAGGATCATTGTTATCAGTTCTTCACTTGGCACTTCGCCTTTCTAAAGAAGAAGGAAAAGAAGAAGGAGCTAAAATGTTAAAAGAATTTATTAAGGCGTGCCAAAAAGGAGAGGATCTTCCAGAAAAAACTACATCAAAACCTAAACAACTAGATATACATGTAGCTCTAGGTGTAAAAGCCTTTAACAATTTATCTCGAAATCAGTACAACAATATTCGACAAGTCCTGAAACTGGAATGCGAAAACGTTTTACCGACAGCTAAAAAATTGTTGAGGTTAGAGAAACAAATATCTCAGACAAGATAGAGAACTACGTGCCAGAAAAACTTCAAGAATACACAGTTTTACGGATGTTATACATAGAAGACTCTACAGTTCTGATCCAGTAATAATAAAAAAATATATGGATGTAATAAATAAAAGGTTAATGAGAAAAAATGTCCAAGAAGAAGGTGAAACACCTGAGCAACAAACAGAAAATGAGGAAGAAGATGAGGAAGAAATTGAATTGATTGAGCCAGAAGGAGAAGGTTATGACTTTTCCCAAGCAGAAAACTATGATTATTCCGAAGGACAAGACCATGAATATTCTGAAGAAGCAAACAACGAATGAATAAATAAATTTCATTAAATATGATAAAAAAATGTAAATTAAATTTCTTGACAAATAAACAAAATTTCATTAAACTAAAAATTAAACTTTATTAATTTTACCTATTATAGTTGCGTATCAGAGTATTTTTTTTATTACTCTAATGATAATAGCTTTTTTCAGACTTAACATTTCTTAAAAAAGTCCAAAAAATACTCGAGATTGCTTAAAAGTGGTATTTTTGAAAATGCAATTTTTGGGAATTTTTCAAAAACTGCGTATGTCACAATCAACAGCCCTATAAATAACCAGGACTAAGTTAACTAGCAAGTATTATATATCGTTGGATAGGTATTACATTAGGCTACAATAATCCGAAAACAGAATTAAAAAATATTTTTTCAAAAAAAAGTTATAGTGGTTTAAGTAGGGTGACAAATGGCCAAATCGATGGAGAGCACATACCCCCTATATCTCGAAAGATTTTGAAGTTTTTGAAAAATTTTCTTCACAAAATCATTTAAATTGTTATTTTTCATAAGAAAACACCAAAAAACTATTTTTAAAACTATGTTTTCGTATTTTTAAAAGAATTATTAGTTTTTGGCCAAATACTCAACGACCTACTAAAATCAACATAACTCAATTACGTTAGCTTACTTTTTCAAAGTTTATACAGTTTTGAAAACTAGATATATGGGGCTACAAAACTGCGTTTTTACTTGCCTGGAAACTCTTCATTTATGATAGTTGCGGCTTGTTTGAAGATAATTTTCCTGAAATTTTCACATATGTTCTACCATAATGGCACGAAAACATTCAGAACCTAAACTTTGTTATATGTCAAAATAAAGCTCTTATATACTACTAATAGGAACTGAAAACCGTTTTGCAATATCTTAAACCAGTTAAGATATTTCCCGGTTCAAACATGGTATGAAAAAACCAGAATTTTCACTAGTTTTCAACTTCAAACAGCTCTAGAATCGCGAAATCAGCACCAAATGACCTGAAATTTGGCATTTCTATCTACTTTTATGTCCTCTACAAGAAAAAATCACCCAAAAAGTGTAAATCGGAAAAGTCCATTTTTCAAAGTGAAAGTCCCTTTTTTTTTCATTTTGCCCCATAGTGCAAAGTTTACTTTTGATGTTGACTTACTTAAGCTTTTCAACAAACTTCTTAACGAAATAATAAAAAAAAAAAACTTTCAATTTTTCATAGCTTTTTATCTACTTCATCTACAGATGAAATCGCTTTTTCCGTTTTGAGTTATTACTTTTTTTTATTACTCTTTCATCATCATTAATGAGAAATAATGCAGCATAGCTTTATGTCATTATTTTGACGGTTAGAATATTTTATTATTTTCATTTAGACATTCTCATTTCGTCAGCATCAATTCCAAAGGGAGGTTCAATAATTGAATGCAAAGCTTCATTTCTTTTTATTATTCTTATGTATTTATTTCTTCTTCGTCTTCTTCTTCTGTGTATGTATATATTATTATTTGTATAAAGCTCTTTCCATCTTTAATTCGTTTATTTTTCTTCATATTATATTTTCTATTTGATTTTTCCTCCTTTTTTATGTCTTTGCTTTGGAGATGAAAAATGATTGAAAATGCTCTTTATGATTCTATTTGCTGGGATAGCTGTTTTGAATGAATTGGTACTCAACTGTTCATAGCTTCAATCAGAGGTCGAAGCGAACTTGGTTCGCCAAGTTCGCTTCGCTAAAAATTCAACTTGCCAAAGTCGAACTGTAGCGAGAAAAAATTTTTTCTATTCGCCTTAGCGAACCATAGCGAACTCAATTTTATTTTTTTCGCTTTAGCGAACTATTAGCGAACTTAATTTTTCAAAGTTCGCTATAGCGAACTATTGGCGAACTATAATTTTTTGCAATTTTGTATGAAATTACATACTTCACAAACGCAATCAGACATCTCTTAATATGAAGCCAAAAAATTTTTTCTAGTTCGCCAATAGTTCGCTATAGCGAACTTTGAAAAATTAAGTTCGCTAATAGTTCGCTAAAGCGAAAAAAATAAAATTGAGTTCGCTATAGTTCGCTAAGGCGAAAAGAAAAAAAAATTCTCGCTACAGGTCAACTTTAGCAAGTTGAATTTTTAGCGAAGCGAGCTCGCTTCGACCTCTGGCTTCAATTGATCTCTAGTATTAAAAGTGGAATTTTAACTCGGAACTTAATATTTCAAACAATTAATGACTTGTTTTAATTCTTAAGATTCGATTCATATAGTCAAGATTATTTAACTGATCGTAATTATCAAAAGATGGTTAATCAGCTTAATGTCATTGCGAAAAGGCATTTATCCTATGACATAATCTTAGATCAAGTTGGTCGTTTGAGGATTCATTTATTTATAACTCAAAATGGAGCAACGAAAAAGTTTTTGGAATTTAAAGTGATTTTGTGCATCTTCATGAGATGCCTTGAGCAGTAGTTCTTGGTCGCTGTGTTTTAACTGTTCAACTTTATTTATATTCACTAATTTTAATTCAATTGAAGTAAATCAAAAATACAAAAAGCTTTAGTTTTTGATCAAAATCTGGCGATTTTACATTTAATTTGAGAATCTCAACCATCAATATTTAATAAGACAACCTAAATGTAATGGAAAACAGTGCATTTGATGTTCTTATGTCACACAAATTTTTAAATTATTTGAAGGTTCCTTAAAGCATTCATCTTTAATGAATGAAATTTAAATCTTAAGACTCGAAATCAAATTCATTTCGGCAAAAAGCTTGAACAAAGGAAATATTAATAAATGTAAATTTCCAATCATTTTTTTCATCTCCGCAATTTAATTTCGCAAGCATCTATCATCTACAATACCCGCAATCGATAAATGTGCATTATCATTTTATATTCATATTTTGTCTACCTTTTTATTTCTACCTAATTAAACCCTTTTGTTCGTTTCATTAAATTCTTTCATTAATGTCTAATTGCATAAGAACTCGTTTTCTATTCTTCAGAAGAAAGAAATAATGAAAAGCTTAATGTAAGATTAGAACTTGATATTTGATAAAGAATGATTATGAAGAAAAAAATTATTTATTAATTTTTATAAATTTTTTAATCTCATTTTAACTTTAAAATGCCATGCTTAAACGTCTATTTCTATTACCACAGCGTGCTATACTACTTCCACTCGATATACTTCGACCTAATTTACCTTCACTTCCCTTACGCTCACGTGCCTTACGTAAGAGCTCACTCGTCGACGGTCTTCGTTCTTTTGTTACTGCTGCCGCGACATTAAGTAAATGTGGCTCAGTAAGAAGTGCCGAACCAGATCCAGCTGTACTGTGTAATGATTTCTTTGATGATGTGTCAGCAACATTTGGATTTGAGGGCTTTTTATTTAAAATATCTGATGTCGACGAGCGTCTTGGAGATGGAGAAATGTCTAGATATGGCGATGGACTGACAGAACGTGGAACATATTCTTGGTATTGTAATAATGGTGTTGTTGATGTTGTAGGCGTACAAGCTGGTGTTACTGATGCTGATGATGATGGATATCGTTGCGGTGATTGTGGATAATTTAGCAACATTTTCGTTTCATCAATATCAACATCATCAATCCTTAAAGATGGCGCCGAAATCATAGGAGGATTTAAATGTGGTGGCTTCTTTTTGATTGTTTCACCAATTTCAGCATCACTGGAACTACTCGTATCATTTCGTGTTATTTTGAGCATAGCTTTTAAATTTTGGTTTATTGACTTTAGTGATATTAGGCTTGAATTCCTCTTTATCTTTCCTTTCTTCTCATCACTTGTCGGTGATTCTTTCGAGTCATCATTTCCTATCGAATCACCACGTTCCAAACGTGCTTCAACCTTATTGAAGTTTGTTGATGTCGAACTTGTTATGGTTTTGTAATCACGAATTAAATCTTTGGTGTTGAGTGCTGATGAGCTTGTGAGTGTTGAATTCTTTTTGTTATTGCTGCTATTTCCGGTGCCACTGGTCTTTGATTTATCTTTATTCACATCTGTTGTCCCAAAATTTAGTTTCTGTCACTGAATAATGAAATATTTTTTATTCAAGGATTTTTTTAAATTTAAAAATAGAAATGACTAAAAATAGCATTTGGCAGCTCTTTGGCTAGACATTTGACCTAGTAAGAACATGAATTTCAGCAAATTATTGCCAATTGCTATTATGATGCCAAAATAAAATTTGTATAAGGATTTGAATGACTCACACTTTCGTCTTTAGGAGATTCCAGTACGACACCTGGATAGCTGAGTACTGATGGTGGGCCCTGTGAATAAGGGCCCCCCGATTGTCATCTGTTGAGTGAATGTAAATTGCTAGTTAAGATGTTAATAAATTGCTTAGCAATTTGTTTTTTGGATATAAGTGTGTGTTCTTGGATATATCCCATCATGTAACCCTGTATTAAGTCAATAGCAATAATATTAGCAATAACTTACCTAAGTGCTAAAGTCGAAACAGGTAGTGGTCGCACCGGCTTATTATCAATAATCTTTTCAATCTCCAACATGACGGGTGGCGATAGACGAGGAAGTAATTGAAGTGCTTGTAAATTGGTGTGAAGTTGTTCAGTGCTTACAGCACCGATAAGTAGACTCTGAACTGGTTCATGCTTTAAAGTCCACGCGATTGAAAGTTGTGTTAGTGAACAACCCAATTTTTCTGCCAACAGACCGAGTTCACGGAGTTTTTCACAATGTCTTCTCGTCTCATCCATTCGATCCTTAAGGCAGAATCAGATAAAAAAAATAAAAGCAAGAAGATGAAGAAAAGGAAACGAGAAATTGTCAGATTGTTGAGCCAAGAATGCTCATTTTGAGACGAAAAGATAAAAGACAAAAAAAAATATTTATGTACCTCCTTGTTCAGCTCGTCCTCAGTCCACGAGTAGCTTTGACTTTTGTTTCTCAACGATCCTTTTGTTGTAAACATCAGACGTTCATTGTTCTCCGAGAGGCTCATAGAAAGTGGACCCCAAGCCATTAATCCAACACCAATTTTGTTGTAGAGTTCCGGCAGAAAAAGCTCTGCCTTTTCCCTATTGAACATGTGATACTCAGCTTGCTCTACAATTGGCGTCACACAATTGAATTGACGACAGTTGCTATATGCTTCCATAATCTAGTAAATGGATTTTATTTTTAGCATCAATTCTTCATTGCAGTAATTGAAGAATGTTTGGCAAATTTTACCTCTACATGGCTCCATTTGGCAGTTCCCCAATATAGGCAATAACCTAGATTTGAAAAAAAAGTTTCATGAATTTTATGGATGCAAATGGAGATGAATTATGTAACAAGCTTTTTGTTTGTGTGGCAGTAAATTTGAATTTTTGCATTAAAAGCTAAAGTTTTTTTTTGGATGTAGAATTTTACAATTCATCTGTGATTCTGAATATTAAATGTAACATGACGGGATGTGGAAGAATTTCTCACATTCCAAATAAGTTTCAGGCTAAAGCAGTGTTATCGAAACTTGTTTGTGTCACTGTATACTTTAGTGGTAGTCGACGACCCAAACTGGACACAACATGCGATTCGTGACATTTTTTGAACTATTCTGTGGCACACAGTTTGTACAACACTGATTTAGTTTTCTGAGATTTTTTGCTAATTTAAACTAAGGGTTCAGAACTGATAAATTGTATTCTGGTCGTTTATGATCATTATATCAGCTCCGCATCCTTAAAAGAGTCGATTACTAAAACAATTACTACGATGGCGTCTGCTATTTAAGTTGATAAAGGAAACATTTGAATTTTTTCACGTCTAGTAAATTTATGAGTAGGAATTTTTATGAGACTCCCACAAGATTTAAGATTAGAAGTTCTAAGAAAAATTGTAGAAAATTCCACAACTCACTTTTCAAGGAAATGAGTGGGAAATGCTCATCACCATAATAATATTCAAAATTTCCGAGTATTAGTCATGTTAATCTCAAATCCGATCCCACACAAGTCAATTTTTAAAAAAAGGATGAAGAAAGAAAATCACATACCTTGATTGATAACATAATTCATTGCTCGTATCATTTCTGTCATCAAAAAAATGAAGATGATGATTATGGAAGGACATCAAGTAAAAGAGTAAGAATCAATTTAAAATTTCATCATTGTCATATCCCGTGATGAGAAAATTACCTTCCATAGGACACATGGAGTCTGCCTTGTGAATCAAAATAATATCTATATATTCGACCTGTAGTCGCTGCAAACTAGCCTTGACACTTTCAATAATGTGCTTACGTGACAATCCTCGCTCTTCCGACTTTGTGCTCCAATAAATTTTCGTTACAATAATGTATGTCGTTCGTTTCCAATTGTATTTCTGAATGATTTTGCCCATTTCAATTTCTGCTCGAACACCCGAATGTGCCTCTGACAGGTCGAAGAGATTAATTCCATTATCCGATGCAAGCTTTATTATCGATTCGGCTTGCTCACTTGATACATTTGGACTAAATATTGACCATGTTCCTAAACCTACATTACTGCAACGGAGACCACTTTTTCCTAAATTCTTATATCTTAATCCGGGCGTGGGTGTGTTCGTTGGACGAATTGATGAATTTATTCCGTAACTATATGGATGACCTTCAAAAATGACAGAAAGAATTAATAAAGAAATGATATTTTTCATGAATCATTCAAACATTTACAGAACTGTAACTGAATGGATGAGCGAAGAAGACAATTTTTCATTCATTTTTCATCTTTCATTGTTTTTATGTATCACAATGGATCCATTTAGAATAGATTATATAGCTTCAGAAATATATGAAATGTAATATTTAACTGTTTCACTAGGGTAACAATGTGCTTTAGACATATGAAATATCACGATGAGATATGATAGATTTTACTTTAAACGAACATTTATTTGAATATCATCAGGACATGAGCATATCATGTGCATTCAATTGAGCATTTATTTATTCAAATAACGTTTGATTTGGATGATAAATTTTTTATGCGATTTGGAGCATTCGGGGGTTGAATTTTTAATATTGACTCTCGTGGAGTTGAAAACTGTTTAACTCAATGTAATAAACGTATTTTTTATGACTTTATGCTTGTGACTGTTCTTATTGCATTTCAAAAATACAATTAATTTTTAGAATTACATGGCAATTACTGCTCATATTAATTAAAAGTTTGAGTGCTCTAGCTTAGTTATTAAAAGAACAAAAGGTGTATCCTTGTTAGATATCCTTCAAACTTAACTGCTTTAAAATAAAACTTTTTGTACATTAAGCTTTTGACCAAGGCGTGGAAACTATCCCAAATATCCCATTTATCCCATATATCCCAAAAATATTCTTGAGCATGTATGCACGATAATAAAGATATCCCAACGTATCCTTAGTGGATTGGACGTGTAATTTCAGGATATGATGGGATATCTCAATTCTAATGCATACAGGCTCAGGGATTATTTTGAATATTTTTGGGATATTTGGGATAGTTTCCACGCCTTGCTTTTGACTAATGTTAATTATAAAGAATCATTTACAAATGTCATTCGTTATAAAATAAAATTTTTAAACACCTTTGAAGACTTAAATTTTGAAATTACAAAGTATCTTCCAACTTGGAAATGCATCATCTCATAACAATGTGCAGCTGGAGCTCTAAAACGAGTTGACTTCGATTTCTGCTAGGGAACAAATTTTTGAAACCGAAACGGAAAAAATTGAGTACTCTTCAAAGTTCCAACTTACTGTTGAGATATACTTTAAGTTTTAAAATTCAAAATTGACATAAATGACTCAAAAAGTTTCATTTAATGTTACTATTCCAATACATTTACTTCCAATATTAACAAATTAGTCATCAAACTTTTCACAAATCAGCGATACTGAAATAATCAGCATAGGATATTAAACTGCTTAATTATAATTGAATTAGTTTCTTAATATCCTACAAATAGAACGCATCCATATAAATGTAAATGATTCAATGATAATCAATTAACCTTTCATTCAATCAGTTTTATTGATTAATTGGAATTATATCGCAAACATAATTCTTTTTGCACTAGATATAACAGCTAGTTAATTTCTGATGAGCTTATGTGTTAGCAAACTAATTAAAGAATCAAGTACTTTTTGAATTGCTTTCTATAAATTTTAATGGATGTGTATGAAAGTAATTGCTGTTGAGGATCGAACGAGTTAAAACTCTTTCTAAAGAGAAAGACAATAGCTGAGGGATTAAAAGTTTTAAAAAGGATATTTTTAGAAAAGAATTGAGTTTATATGTAAGAGTAAGGATTAAATGTCATAGATTGGACTCTACAGAATCCAAAAACTCATTGTTTATTTTTATCATGAATGTGCTTTAATCCTCGGCTGGCGTATTACTTTAGACTACAACTATTATACTCTTATAATCAATGAAATATTGGGACTGTAATCAATCATGCTTGAAAATGATATAATAACAAAAAGACACTTCATTTACAGGAAGAGCTTGTAGCTTCATTTCATATCATAGAATCCCTTTAACAAACAAGCTTTAGGGATGAAAATCTAAAATCACAAAATCATTCAGCTACCTAAAGAATGTTGATGTCGTACAGAAAAAATAACAAAGCTCCTTTTCAATTACGTTTCAAATGATAATGAAGAGAAGAAAGAGTCTTTCAAGTTGAACCTCAAAAGAGCTCTGAAAGATTTTCATTTTGCTTTTTTTTTATTATTTGCCGTCGACAAGAAAAATACATTTCAGCAGAGATGCTGAATGTAATGGAATTGACCTATTTTTATTAAATTATCATAACAAATAAGCAGCACCTTGTTATGATTAAATAAAATCTTCATACAATTTGGCAACATTCTTCCTTTATTTGATCATCATCATCACTATAATATTTTCTTCTATATTCCTTCTTATTCCTAATTTTTTCATCCGGTTTCTTTATGAATACAAAAACTTCTTCTTTCATGTAAATAATCCTATGCCAATAAAATAAGTTTTGGTTCTGCAACTTTAGTTTTTTTATTTTTCTTTTAGTTTAGCGCATTTTCTTGGGAATATAAAAGTTTATAAATCTTTTGAATCATTTGATTTTGTAAATTAGATTAGTTAAAGCACGATTCAACCTGGCTACAATTGAACTTAATTTTCATATGTATCGGAACCTCAAATAAATAAATCCCAAAAATATTTTCAGATTCCAACAATGCTGTATCACAAAAGATAAATCACAAAGAATGATACAATTGCGTTTAATCCAGGATTATACCTCATAAGCTTTCCTCAATCCGCAAAAATGCGTTAAACCACCTTATTCCCAAACATTCTTTATGTTTATTCTTTTTTTTTCATTTATATGTTGAAACAATGTTTTGGTGTGTGTTTTATGTTTGGGGCCACATATGTTATTTCAACACAGACAGGAAAAAGGATCTTTTTGGTAACTGATAAAGCTAATAAGTTTTAAAAAATAAGAACCTTTCAATTTCTTCTTAGGGGCCATTCACTTATTACATAACGCTTTTAGGGGGAGGGGGGGTCTAAGATTTTGTTACGATTCAAACAAGGAAATTTTCTTTTCATACAAATTTTGTTACGAGGGGGGGGGGGGTCTAAGAAGTCATTTTTTCGCGTTACGTAATAAGTGAACAGCCCCTTATTGCATTTAAATTTTACAGATAAAATCTCATTAATCAAAGTATATTAAAAGTTTCAAGATAGCAATTACTGTCTATAATCCTTTATAAATACTCAAAGATTCTGGATTAAAAGAAATTGATGCCAATAAATCACTTTTAAATTTATTACAAATCTAGTAATAAGGTAGACACAAAATTAACCGGAATTTTCTCTGTGATAAAATTTATATTGACTTAATCTATTTTGACATTATTGGTAGAGTTACAATAAAGGGTAATTTACAAAGACCGTGCGACAACTTCTTAACTTTTCTCATGATACACAGACGGTGAGACTGAATGAATGAAAAAGTTTCTTCTTTATGTGATACTTTAAGACATTGTCAAACTTTTTCTGATGATTTTATTTATACGAAATATTTAATAAAAGCAATCAATAACAGTCATGAAGAAAGGATGGAATGGATTGTGTTGTTGATAGGGTTTGAAAATATTTTGATAATTTTATACAGATGTCTATCGGCTTTGCTAGCCTGTTCCAAATAAAAATAACAAAACTCACAATCAGAAAATTGAACATCTTCAAACTATGTCATATCCAACTTCTATTTTTATAAACTTTTAATCCCAATATATTCCAAGCGATACGATGCATAAAACTTTCGAAAACTGTCAATTACCATAACAGCATGCATTTAACATGTAAATTTCCACTCAGTCAATGGCATTAAATCTTCTGACACTCGCTTTCTATCCTTTCTTCATGTTATTGACATTATTTTGCACCCTTTCAGAATTTACACAAAATTAGATGTCAAAGTTTCTCGCATTCATCCATGTACATGTATGTATTTGTTGTTTACTTACCATAATCTATTTGTGTATGTCCAGTAAATTCTTCCATACAGTCTAAAGACGCTATTGGACATCTGTGTGTATTTTATGTTGACATAATGAAATTTGATGTTGAAACAATTGAGATAGAGAAATGAATTGATATAAGACATTAGATGAAACAATAAACGTTGAGTTGGTCGTTGAAAAAATCGGACACTTATTGTATTAGATTGATGCTTTCAATTAATTACAGAAGAACTACGAGATGCTTATATAAATTGTCATTGTATCGAGTTTTAAATTTAAAATCTATTGACATAGAACTGAAATCTTCCAATTTATCCAGCGGTAAAAGTTTTGAAAGCTTTTGGGTATTGAAACTTTTTGTTTGTCATACCCAAAAAAAGCCAAGCTTTCAGCCTGTATTTTATTTGTTTTTCTGTGTTTTTTAATCTGAGGAAAATTTTATCATTGAATATTTAATAGGATTTTTTGTTTTGTAAGCACCTTCCAGCAGCCGTGTGATTAGATTGTTTACAGCTATGCTGGAAAAGTTTGGGAACGATATAAATAGCACAAACGACGCTACTGCATGATACATGCCAAAAGCATGAATCGTCGTTTATTTGAGCTTTAGAAGGAAGCTCAACAATCATTGGCAAATGCACAAGATCATCTCCAATGAAGTGTCCGAAAATCTATCGACCAACCAAAAAGAAAAGAAACGAATAAGTGAAAGGACATAGCATTATTTATACCTATAAATCGTGACAGCATTTTTATCGTTTTCATTATTGTGACTGTGTGAGTTGTTATTGTTATCATTACCACTCGTGGCAATGTTGCACATAACCAATGACATCGCTAGTGCTGATGTTGCTGCCCCTCTTCTACTCTCGCACGCTCGCTTCTATTATTACTTTTTTTGTGGATGAATTTTTACTCATAAATCTTCTATCTAATTTCGATTCTCGCGTATAATTCTCTTTATATCCACGCAAATAATTTTCTCGGATATTGTGATGCTGCTGTAATCCGATGCTTCTCTATTTTCTTCTTAATTTATTGTCCACAGTAAATTGTCTACAGATTTAATGAAAATGCTTTTTATTATATCCCGCAAAAAAATCATTTCTTGTTGTGAATAGGAAAAGGAAATTTATTCTTGCATTTTACACAGAATGAA